TCTTGCCTAGGATACCCCTATACTCGAATCTGTCCTCCCTCAAATCTTTGCACTGATACCAACTTCCCTGCAATGCCTTCTCTGGCCACTTTTTTCAAATCATAAACCCCATTCCTAGCATGCCCTATCCCTCTTCTTGCTATATTTTTCTGCATTCCACCAATTCCCATCAACTTAGTATATACTTTACTAAGTTGTACATTTTGTGTCTCTCCCCACTAGAATGTACAGCAGAAATGATGGCATTTTGTTCACTGCAGCATCCCAAGCATGAGGAACAGTACATGGCACATATAGGCACTCAACAAAATTTTTATTGATTGTTCAATAAACATAAGGTAAAAATAATGAGTTACACCAGGTAAAATGTATTTACTACAAGCTAAGCAATGAATAACTATGGGGTTTTCTTCAAGATTTCAAAGTTGAAAACCAGCTCTTCTGCTAAAGCCCCTAATTTGCTTTCTTCTTTTCCTAATCAGAAAGCTAGCAGGAGCCAGAGGGGAATGTCATTTTCTTGCTTCTGATATCAATATTCAAAAATGTAAGACATAGCAATCTCCCTGTTGGCATTTTATAAACAGCAAATTTCTTTTAAAAGTACATATTTGCCTGAAGTAACATCCTTTTAGAGTGCTTCCCTTCAATGTAAACGGACTAAATTTTCCAATAAAAATGCAAAGAGTGGCTGGGGCGCCTGGGTGGCTCAGTTGGTTAAGCGACTGCCTTCGGCTCAGGTCATGATCCCAGGCTCCTGGGATCGAGTCCCGCATCGGGCTCCCTGCTCAGCAGGGAGTCTGCTTCTCCCTCTGACCCTACCCCCTCTCATGCTCTCTCTATCTCATTCTCTCTCTCAAATAAATAAAATATTAAAAAAAAAAAGTTTAAAAATGCAAAGAGTGGCTGAATGGATTAAAGACAAAAAAACACTCGAGACCCATCTATATGCTGCCTACAAGAGATTCACTTAAGATGAAAAGACACACAAACTGACAGTGAAGGGTTGGAAAAAGATATTGCATGTAGATGGAAACCAAAAGAAAGCTAGGCTGGCTATACTTACAGCAGACAAAAAAGACTTTAAAACAAAGACTGTAATAAAAAAACAAAGAAGAGGGGCGCCTGGGTGGCTCAGTCGTCAAGCATCTGCCTTCGGCTCGGGTCATGGTCCCAGGGTCCTGGGATCTAGCCCCGCATCAGGCTCCCTGCTCAGCGGGAAGCCTGTTTCTCCCTCTCCCACTCCCCCTGCTTGTGTTCCCTCTATCACTGTCTCTGTCAAATAAATAAATAAAATCTTTTCTAAAAAAATCCAAAAGCTTATCTCTAAGATTAAGACAAGACAAGGATGCTCACTCTCTCTACTTTATTCAACATAATATTGGAAATCCTAGCCGGAGTAATTAGGCAAGAAGAAGAAATAAAATGCAACCACACAGGAAAGGAAAAAGTGAAACTATCATTATTTGCATATGACAGGACATTACACATAGAAAATCCTAAAAACCCCACCAAAAAACTGTTGGAACTAATAAAGAAATTCCATAAAATTCCAGGATACAAAACCAATATGCAAAAATCTGTTGAATTTCTATACACTGATATGAACATTCAAAAAGAGAAATTAAGAAAATAATTCCATTTATAACTGCATCAAAAAGAATAAAATACCTAAGAATAAACTTAACCAAAGAGATGAATATTCTGTACACTGAAAACTGTATGACCCTGATAAAAATAAATTGAAAAACAAATAAATAATAAGATATTCCGTGCTCATGGATTAGAATATCACTAAAATGTCCCTACTATCCAAAACAATCTACAGACTGAACGTAATTCCCATTAAAATTCGAAGGCATTGCGACTCCTGGGTGGCTCAGTCGTTAAGCGTCTGCCTTCAGCTCAGGTCATGATCCCAGGGTCCTGGGATTGAGTCCCATTTTGGGCTCCCTGCTCAGCAGGGAATCTGCTTCTCCCTCTCCCTCTGTCTCCTCCCCTCTGCTCATGTTCTGTCTCTCTCAATCGCTCTATAAAATAAATAAATAAAATCTTTTAAAAAAATTCCAATGCATTTTTCACAGAAAGGAAAAACTCTAAAAATTCTAAAATTTGAATGGAACCACAAAAATCCCTGAGTAGCCAAAGCAATCTTGAGAACGAAGAACAAAACTGGAGGCATCACACTGTCTTACTTCAAACTATATTACAAAACTACACTAATCAAAACAGTAAGATTTGGACACAAAAACAGGCATATAGATCAATGGAACAGAATAGAGTCCAGAAATAAAACCATGCACATACGGTCATTTAATGACAAAGGAGTCAAGAATATAAAATGGGGAAAGGACAGTCTCTTCAATAAATGGTATTAGAAAAACTGGATAGCCACATGCAAAAGAATGAAACTGGCCCACCATCTTATACCATCCACAAAAATTAACTCAAAGTGGATTAGGGCGCCTGGGTGGCTCAGTTGGTTAAGCGACTGCCTTCAGCTCAGGTCATGATCCTGGAGTCCTGGGATCGAGTCCCATATTGGGCTCCCTGCTCAGCGGGGAGTCTGCTTCTCCCTCTGACCCTCTTCCCTCTTGTGCTGTCTCTCATTCTCTCTCTCAAATAAATAAATAAAATCTTTAAAAAAAAAAAAAAGTGGATTAAAGACTTTAATGTTACACCTGAAACCATAAAACTCCAAGAAGAAAGCATGGGTGGTAAGTTCTTAGACATCAGCCTTGGCAATGATTTTTTGAATCTGACACCAAAAGCAAAAGCAACAAAAGCAAAAATAGCAAAGTGGGACTACATCAAACTAAAACACTTCTGCACAACAAAGGAAACCATCAACAAAATGAAAAGGCAACCTACTGGATGGGAAAAAATATTTGCAAATCATATATTTGATACAGAGTTTATAAAATATATAAAGAACTCCTACAATTCAATAGAAAAAAGAAATCAATTTTTAAAGTGGGCAGATCTGAAGAGACATTTTTCCAGGGAAGACACACAGATAGCCAATGGCTACATGAAAAGATGCTTGGTATCACTCATCAAGGAAATGCAAATCAAAAGCACAATGAGCTATCACCTCCCACCTGTTAGAATAGCTAGTATCAAAAAGACAAGAAGTAATAGGAATTGGAGAGGATGTGGGAAAATGGGAACCCTTGCCTCTGTTGGTGGAATTATAAATTGGTGCAACCACTGAGGAAAACAGTATAAAGGTTCCTCAAAAAATTAAAATAGAACTACCATATGATCCAGAAATTTCACTTCTGGGTATTTATGCAAAGTATTTAAACATTTACTCAAAAAGATTTGCACCCCCATGTTCACTGTAGCATTATTTAGAATAACCAAAATATAGAAACAATCTAAGTGTCCACAGATAGATGAATGGATAAAGAAATATGGCGTATATATGTTATATTGCGACTTACAGTAAGAAATATATATTTGGTCTTCAACCCAGTTCTTGGCATGGAACTTCTAACCCTTGGAATTTCCTGTGATAAGAGCAATAAAGGTGTCTTTTGTTATGTTAATGAGGTGACTTTTGGAAAGCCCTTAGGTAACCTAAAGACGGGGGGGGGGGGGGGGGGGTTTGTCCTGGGACCCAACCAGGTAATTAGAAGGTTTTAACTTTCAGTACTTCCACCCCAACCTCTAGGGAAGGAAGAGGGGCTGGAGGTTGAATCAATCACCAATGGTCCGTGATGATTTAATCAATTGTGACTATGTGATAAAGCCTCCATAAAAACCCAAAAAGACAGGGTTCAGAGAGCTGCTGGATTGGTGAACACATGAAGATTTGGAAAGAGTGGTGACCTGGAGAAAGCAGGAGGCCCATACCCTGCCCCATACATCTCCTCCACCTGGCTGTTCCTGAGTTATATCCTTTTATAATAAAACAGTGATCTACCATGTAAAATGTTTCATATTTCAAATTAATTGAACTCAAGGAGGGGATCACGGGAATCTGATTTTTAGTCAGTTGGTCAGAAGTACAGTTAACAACCTGGACTTGTAAAGGGCATCTGAAATCCAAGGACGGGGTCGTGGGAACCTCCAATCTGTGGCCCCCGTAGTCAGAAGCACAAGGAACAGCCTGGGCTTGCTGCTGGCATCCGACACAGAGTAAGGGCTGAGGACAATCTTTTTAAGACTGAGCCCTTACCCTGTGAATCTGATACTATCTTTACGTAGACAGTATCATCAGGGAGTTGAATTCTCAGACACTGCTGGAATTGGGTCAGGAGCCTAATTTAATGAATATACAATGGAATATTATTCAGCCACATAAAAGAAGGAAATCTTGCCATTTGGGACAACATGGATGGAGCTTGAGGGGATTATGCTAAGTGAAATAAGTCACACAGAGAAAGACAGAAAGAGCCCAATATCACTTATATATGGAATCAAAACAAACAAACAAGCTCATGGATTCAGGGACCAGATTAGTGGTTGCCAGAGTGGAGGATAGGGGTACCTGAATGGGTAAAGACCAAAAGGTAAAAACTTCCCATTATGAAATAAGTCCTAGAGATGTAATGTACAGTACACTGACTATAGTTAATAATACTGTATTGCATGTTTGAAAGTTGCCGAGAGAATAAATTTTAAAAGTCCTCATCACAAGAAAAAACATATTTGCAACTATGTATGGTGATAGATGCTAACTAAACTTACTGTGGTGATCATCTTGCAATAGGGACAAATAACAAATTATGTTGTGCACCTGAAACTAATACAACATTATATGTCAATTACACCTCAATCAAAAAAAAAAAAAAAAAATACGTCTCCCCACTCAAGCTAAGAACAATCAAGAAATTCCAGGCTAAATTACGAGCTCTATAAAGTTTCAGCACAACATTCAATCATGTTTGCTTTTGGGCAAAGTACCCAACTGTTGCCCTTTTTACAAAGGTCCAGCTGAATGACCTTTAAAGGTCATACATGCCAAAATCCAAAATGCCAAACAGAATTCTCATTACCTCTCAGTGGAGTCTCTGATGAGCTGCTGCAGGTCCACCTCCTGCTTCCTCAGGTTTCCAAAAGAAGACTGACTTTCCACCAGTCCTTTGCCTCCAGCATTCAGCTTGACCTTCCCTAGCGCCGTCTCGATGGTCCCACTCACGTGGTTTTGAAACTTGCTCTCATATTTCACAAAGTCTGACTCCACGACCACTGGAGGGAATGAGACATGCAAAGGCGTCTGATGATGATATGGCCACCTAGCTGCCTTCGGCCACCTACCTTCCCAATCCTGTGGAAATCCACAGGAAACATGAAGTTCACACTCAAAATGGAGAGCCGGCAGCCACGCTCTGTGTATGTTCTAAAGAAAATGCAGCTGGCCCACTGAGGTACTGACTGAGAGCATGGCGGGACTCGTGGCCAGGGGCTCTACTTGGTGCTCTTGGTTTTTTGTCTTTCAATTCCAATATATACATATGTAGACAGGTGCACCAAAAGTATCAGGACAGTTTAACAAATAATTTTAAAGAAAGCCTCCTGGGGCCCATGGCTGGCTCAGTCGGAAGAGGACACAACTCTTGATCTCAGGTTTGTGAGTTTTAGCCCCACGTTGGGTGCAGAGATTACTTAAAAATAAATAAGTAAATAAACTTTAAAGCAAGCATCCGTTTAACCACTATCCAGATAAAATACATTTTTTAAATTTTTTTAAATAGAATATTTTCAGTGTGTGCTTTTTCAGGGTGAAGACTGTAAAGGGACTTCATGAGGATGACACCTAAACAGAGTGAAAATAGCAGCTCTGCTCATGACCCATGTTCGAGTGGTCTGCCTTACTCCGTATCTGGCAGGTCAGCCACCTGGAGCTTGGGCATCTTCCCTTCCCACCCACCAGTCCTGAAGAACATTCCCTTGGCCTTCATTACCATCTCTATGAAAAAATTTCCTTTCCCGTACTTACCTATTATTTTTTTTTAATTTTTTATTTTTTTTAGAGAGAGCATGGGTGGAGGGAGGGAGATGCAGAGGGAGAGAGAATCTTAAGCAGGCTCCATCCCCAGCACAGGGCTCAACATGGGGCTGGATCTCACCACCCTGAGATCCTGACCTGAGCTGAAATCAAGAGTCTGATGCTTCACTGACTGAGCCACCCAGGCACCCCATGCTCACCTGTTTATATTGACCTCTACCCGGCCATTTAATTCCTTATCATACAATACCTTATCTCTACTCCTGATAAAGTCAGTGGACATGCCTGCCCTCCCTCCCTCCCTCTCTCTCTCTCTCAAACACCATCCTGGGATACACAAGCTCCAGACTCTCCACCCTTACTTTCTGGCTTCCCAGACTTAGGAAGATGCCACCCCCCACCAGGTATTCCAGCTTCAATCAAGTCCTCTGGGAATTACTACGTTCCTCATCTGGTCACATCCAGGGGACTATCATATTGCCTTTAAGATCTGTCCTTCTTATCTGAAGGACACTGAAGATAAATACCTGATGATCTCATTTCTGAATTGCCAGCCTTCTCTTATCTCCAGATTTCTACTGCTCTCATTTTTAATCCAACCAAATACCACCATAAAAATAGTGTCAGTCACTGTCGTTTGATATAGCTACATTTAGGGCCTCTTAAGAACTTCACACTGGGCTTTTTCCATTTCCCTGACCCTAGGCTCTCCTGAGCTCCTGGTTGTACTTCTAAGGGATTCAAATCTGCCTATAGTCTGAAAGGCTTCTTTCCATCCACTCACTGCCCCCAACACCTGTATTTCCTTCACTTCAGTCAAGAAAACCATTCCTCAGCAAGGGTTAATGAGAATTAATCATCAATCACTATCTTTGCAATTTACAAAATAGAGAATCATCTCTGTCACCACCACCAAAAATGAGACAACTGTGAAAATGCCCTCAATTCAAAGCCTTTTCCCATTTATATCTTGTGGAATACAAACACTTTCAGAAATGTTTTGGGAAGTAGCATAGAGCACTTGTTAAGAGCTCAAGATCTTAATCACTATTCTAATATTCCTACCTATAAGAACTTGTTAACATTCATCTCCCTGAACCTCGGTTTTCTCAGATGTAATCTGGAGAGAATACCTTCCTGATGGATTCTGTTACAAGCTGATGTATGTAAATCATATAACACAGAGCCAGGCACATAGCAAGTGCTCACTCTATCCACTGGGCTTAGGCCAGAACAATGTCATTTTCTGATAAAAGGAACAGTCCTAGGTTGTACAAAGTGCTACACAGATAGAAATTTTCTTTCTTTACCTAGAGAAAACTCTAGCTATTTCTGGACCAGCTTGAGAGCCTGCCCTGCTCTCCCCAGAAAGCTTCCTTATTTGAGTAATAAAACTTTTCACACCCTCCTGATGGCTATGTGGCATCATCAACTGCAACACTAAACCAGATTTTGGGTGGTAGATCCACCCTACCTATGCTGAGTGGCCACAACGCTTAAAATGGGCATGTCTTACTTTTGCACTCAAAACTGCAATATTATTTTTTTTTAATTAAGCTATAACTTCTCATGTCTGGCCTGTAGAATTTTGTTCATTTAAGAAAAGGATATGCCTTGAGGCACCTGTGTGGCTCAGCATTGGGACTCTTGATTTCAGCTCAGGTCATGATTTCAGGACAGTGGAATCGAGCCTCACCTCGGGCACCATGCTCAGCAGAGAGTCTGCTTGAGATTCTCTCTCTTCCTCTCTCTCTGCCCCTCCCCCCCAAAATAAATAAAATCTTAAAAAAAAAAAAAAAAGGATATGTCTTTAAGAGAGTGTGCAAAGAAACAGAATTCATGGTAAGGTCTCACCTTACAATCAATCACTCAAGACAGCATGTACCTAGAAGATGAATCATCTTTTCTGGGACTAACTGTAGACTATACCCAAAGAAACCTACCTGGACTCAGAAATTGGTCTTCTCTGAGTACATCTCCAAGGGTGACAGATAAAAACTGGTACTTGGGTCTCTGCCAGCACCAGAATCTCTTTTTTTTGGTCACCAGACTCAGAAGCTGTAACTTATCAGAGTCATTCAAGTTTGATACCGCAGTCAGGTTACCTCCAGCATCAACTTCTTTAAGAAAATTCCTTGTTGCTTTGGCAAACATTATGAGAGCTCCAAATTACCTGAATAAAAAAACAAAATAGTTACCCGCAAATTAAATAAGAAGTTATTATTTCATTTATTTTTTTTCTAAAAGTGCCTTATTTTTCCTTTGTGTCAATCACTACACATGAAAGAATACCTTTTCCTTAGAAAACCCTCTAGTGTCGGTTCAGCTGATGACAAAGAAATCAAATTGAAATACTGAAAGAGAGTAGGTAAGTCTAGATGGACTAAGTTAAGCTTCAGACACAAATAACCTCCAAATATTAGTGGCTTATACCAAGAAAGGTGTATTTATTGGTCACAGTCTGTCTGGCAGAGGAGGACAGGAGAGCTTTTCTCATCATAGTCATTCAATGATCCAGACTGAAAGGGCAGCCACCATCCAACATGAAAGAGTTCTGGAAAGTCTCACACCAGCAATTAAATGCTCTGGCCCAAAATTCACACACGTCATGTCCACTCACAATTTGTCACAGTAATCACATGGCCTCAGCCAGCCAGAATGGTCAGGAAATACAATTGTACCATGTATCTAACAGGTAGAAACCCGAGAATATTTGTTGACCCACCTACTGACTACCCTAATTTGTAAAATACAAAGATATGACCACTTCCTTAAAGGGCAATGTGCTTTTTCTCCACACTGTATGATTTCCCCTATTCAAATGCAAAAGTAACTATTACTTTTTAGTCCAGAAATGAAGACTAGTCACTCCTCAGCTGTAGGGAAAAAGAAGAAACACACTGGAAGATATAAAATACTGAAGAACTAGCTAAAGCCAGATTCCTATCTCATGCTGTACGCAAGAGCAAATTCTCAATGGATTAAAAGGTTTTTTTGAGGAAAAGAAATGAAACCAAAAAAGTACTAGAAAAAAAAATACAGATAAATATTTGTTCAACTGTAGGATGAGAAAGGCCTTTAGGAAGACAAATGGCAAATTGAGAAAAAACTTATAATATTTATAACGAAGAACTAGAATACTTAATATATAAAAAAATCTTTCACAAATTGTTTTTAAAACACAGTAATAGAAATATGGGCAAAGGTTATAAACAATTCACAATATATAAACTGCACCTAGCCTACATACACACACACGAATATATACATATGTGCAAACACACAAGCACACACATATATAGTCATTACTCAAAAAAAAGCACAAGTGAAATAAGAGTTTTTTTTAAATTATCCATGGTCAAAGGTTAAACAGCTAATGGACAAGAAATGTGTTTTATTTGTATTTGTACCCTGGTGTCTGGCAGTCACAGAGATATAAAAACACAGTTTGAGAGGTGGGAGTAGTCTTAGACATTAACTAGTTCAACCCACTTGCTTTATTTTTTTTGTTTGTTTTTGTTTTATTTATTTTTTAAATTTTATCTATTTAAATTCAATTAATTAGCATATAGTGTATTATTGGCTTCAGAGGTAGAGGTCAGTGATTCATCAGTCTTATATAACACCCAGTGCTCATTATATCACATGCCCTCCTTAATGCCCATCATCCAGTTACCCCATTCCTCCACCTACCTCCCCTCCAGCAACCCTCAGTTTGTTTCCCATAGTTAAGAGTCTTTTCTGGTTTGTCTCCCTCTCTGATGACTTCACATTCAGTTTTCCCTCCCTTCCCTTAAGATCCTCTGTTTTGTCTCTTAAATTCCATATATGAGTGAAATCATCATAATCGTCTTTCTCTGACTTCACTTAGCATAATACCGTCTAGTTCTATCCATGTCACTGCAAATGCTAAGGTATCATTTTTTGATGGCTGAGTAATATTCCATTGTGTATATATACCACATCTTCTTTACCCATTCATCTGTTGAAGGACATCTGGGCTCTTTCCACGTTTTGGCTATTGTGGACATTGCTGCTATAAACATTGGCGTGCAGGTGCCCCTTTGACTCACTATGTTTGTATCCTTTGGGGTAAATGCCTAGTAGTGCAGTTGCTGGGTCGTAGGGTAGTTCCATTTCTTTTTTTTAGGATTTTATTTATTTATTTGAGACAGAGAGAGAGAGAAACAGCATGAGAGGGGAGAGGGTCAGAGGGAGAAGCAAGCTCCCCGCTGAGCCAGAAGCCCCATGTGGGACTCGATCCCAGGACTCCGGGATCATGACCTGAGCCAAAGGCAGTCGCTTAACCAACTGAGCCACCCAGGCGCCCTGGGTAGTTCTATTTTTAACTCTTTGACAAACTTCCATACTGTTTTCCAGAGTGGCTGTACAAGTTTGCACTACCACAAGCAGTGTAAGAGAGTCCCCCTTTCTCCGCATCCTCGCAGAGGACGAAACAAAGTTGTTTCCTGACTTTGTTAATTTTAGCCATTCTGACTGGTGTGAGGTGGTATCTCACTGTGGTTTTGATTTCCCTGATGCGAAGTGATGTTAAGCATTTTAAAAACAAATATTGTTAAAATGTCTATGATACTCAAAGCAATCTACACATCCAATGCAATCCCTATCAAAATATCATCAACATTTTTCAAAGAGCTGGAACAAATAATTCTAAAATTTGTATGGAACCAGAAAAGACCTGACTAGCCAAAGGAATGTTGAAAAAGAAAACCAAAGCTGGTGGCATCACAATTCCGGACTTTAAGCTCTATTACAAAGCTGTCATCATCAAGGCAGTACGGTACTGGCACAAAAACAGACACATAGATCAATGGAACAGAATAGAGAGCCCAGAAATGGACCCTCAACTCTATGGTCAACTAATCTTTTTTTTTTTTTTAAGATTTTATTTATTTATTTGACAGAGACAGAGAGACACAGCGAGAGCGGGAACACAAACAGAGGGAGTGGGAGAGGGAGAAGCAGGCTTCCTGCCGAGTAGGGAGCCCAATGTGGGACTCAATCCCAGGACCCTGGGATCATGACCTGAGCTGAAGGCAGATGCTTAACGACTGAGCCACCCAGGCGCCCTATGGTCAACTAATCTCTGACAAAGCAGGAAAGAATATCCAATGGAAAAAAGACAGTCTCTTCAACAAATGGTGTTGGGAAAATTGGACAGCCACATGCAGAAGAATGAAACTGGACCACTGTTTACACCACACACAAAAATAAACTCAAAATGGATGAAAGACCTAAATGTGAGACAGGAATCCATCAAAATCCTAGAGGAGAACAGGAGAACACAGGCAGCAACCTCTTTGACCTTGGCCGTAGCAACTTCTTGCTAGACAGGTCTTCAAAGGCAAGGGAAACAAAAGCAAAAATGAACCACTGGGAGGGATTTCATCAAGATAAAAAGCTTTTGCACAGCAAAGGAAACAGTCGAGAAAACCAAAGACAACCTACCAAATGGGAGAAGATATTTGCACTTGTCTTATCAGATAAAGGACTAATAACCAAAATCTACAAAGAACTTATCAAACTCAACATCCAAAAAATAATCCAACCAAGAAATGGAAAGAAATGAACAGACATCTCTCCAAAGAAGATGTACAAATGGCCAACAGACACAACCAACTTACTTTAACATGAATCTCCTCTAGGACATCAGAAAATGTTTGTCTTACTTATCACTAGTTCTTCTCTAACATGCCTTTTCTTAGATTACTATTCTTGTATATTAACAATAAGAATAAACATTTAAGGAAGGGATTCTAAAACATAAAAAGTTCCTTTCTTATTTGAGAGAGAGCGCTTGTGTGTGCAAGCAGAGGGAGGGGTAGACGGGGAGGGAAAGGGAGAGAGAATCTGAAGCAGACTGCACACCAAGGACAGAACCCGACACAGGGCTCAATCCCACGACCTCGAGATCATGACCTGAGCTGAAACCAAGAGTCAGCTGCTTGAATGACTGAGCCACCCAGGCACCCCTAAAAAGTTCCTTTCTGATCAACAGTGAACTGTAAAGAAGGAAAACTATGTATGCTCAAATTCTCATCTCTAAAGCATCTCTCACTATACTAAGTTTCTTACATGTGATGGAGCACTCATTCATTTATCAAAACATTTACTAAATCATTAGTTATCCTTAAGTACCTACTATACATGGGTGCTGTGTTTAAGCGCTTAGGATACTGATACAAAAAGTCATCTCTATACAGATAGCCAACAAACACATGAAAAGATGCTCAACATCATTCCTCATTAGGTAAATGCAAATCAAAACTACAAGATACCACCTCACACCAGTCAGAATGGCTAGAATCAAAAAGACAAGAAATAATAAGTGTTGATGAGGATGTGGAGAAAAAGAAACCCCCATGCACTGTTGGTGGGAATACAAATTGGCATAGCCTTTGTGGAAAACAGTATGGAGGTTCCTCAAAAAATTAAAAATAGAAATACTGGACAATCAGTAAACCCACTACTGGATACTTACCAAAAGAAAACAAAACACTGGGGCGCCTGGGTGGCTCAGTTGGTTAGGCGACTGCCTTCGGCTCAGGTCATGACCCTGGAGTCCGGGATCGGGTCCCACATCAGGCTCCCTGCTCAGCGGGGAGTCTGCTTCTCCCTCTGACCCTCCCCCCGTCATGTGCTCTCTCTCTCTCTCTCATTCTCACTCTCTCAAATAAATAATCTTAAAAAACAAAACACTAATTTGAAAAGATATATGCACCCCTATGTCTATTGCAGCATCGTTTACAATAGCCAAGACATGGAAGCAACCCATGTATCCACTGACAGATGAACAGATAAAGAAGTGGTGTATATATATATATGCAATGGAATATTACTCAGCCATAAAAGAGAATGAAATCTTGCCATTTGCAACAACATGGATGGACCTAGAGGGTATTATGCTAAGTGAAGTCAGGCAAAGACAAATATCATAGGATTTCCCTAATATATGGAATTGAAAAAAAAAACACAAAATGAATGAACAAACAACAGTAGAAACAGATAAATAAATACAAAGAACTGATGGTTGCCAGAGAGGTGGGGTAGGGGGATGGGTGAAGGGGAGTGGATGGCACAGGCTTCCAGTTATGGGATAAGTCACAGGGATGAAAGGAATGGCATAGGGAATA